CCCCCCCCCCCCCCCTTTCCACACCGTCCTGTACGCACACGTACACACACACGCACACGCGCGCGCATACACATAGCACACGAGCTGTGCCGTCGCTCGGCAATTACCGGGCGCAATTAACACGCCTCGCTCTACGGCGGCGGAAGAAAGGCGTATCCCGCTGGAAACGGCCGATGCTTTTCCAGCTCGCTCCCTATCCAAACCGCGGCGATTATCCGCCGCGCTCGTCGTGCGGACGATCGCGCGACGGCGGTGGCGGCCCGCCGTCCGTCCCGTCAGAAGGACTCCTTCTCCTCCTCCTCCCGCCGACGGGGGAAGTCGGGGCTTCAACCCTTTGAGAAGACGTCAAGACGCAATCTCTGTCCGTCGCCGTCGCTCTCTCGCGCCAGTCGAGAGAGCAAATCGACTCCCATACTCGCCGGGATAATTAATACTCCAATTTGCCTTCACTCCAGTTCCTACAAAGTCCCTCAGACGCTCGTCGCCCGTCCATCCGTCCGTTCGTCGGTCGGTCGGTCGGTCGGTCGGTCGGTTCGCTCTCGATTCTTTCGGGCGTCGCTCGATTCCCCGCGGCAAAAAGACGGCCCCGGTGCGAGCGGGAGGCCAGAAGAAGAGATAGAAGAAGATGAAGAAGAAGAAGAAGAGGTAGCAGCAGTAGAAGAAGACGGGCGTGTGGCGTGCGTTCGTCGTACGGGACGTGTTATTAGCCCGGCACTCCTTTCTCTCTCTCTCTCTCTCTCTCTCCCTCTCTTTCCCTTTCTATCTCTCTCTTTTGCTCTTTTCTCTCTCTTTCCGTGCTCCTTCTACTCCTCCCTCTGCTGCCATCTCCTTCTCTCCTCGCTTCTTCTTCTTCTTCCTCCTCCTCCTTCTTCTCTTCCTCCCGCGGCCCTTCTTCTTTTTTCTCCAATTTCCTATGCGGGGGCTAGAAACGCGTTTAATTAACATAGCTGGCGTGGCTGCATCCCTCTTCTCTCGGGTGCCGAGCAGCCAGTCAGCTTTTACGGGCCATTGCACGCACGATGCACGTATGTATTACGAGTGCCGGCCTCCCTCCTTCTCTCCCCTTCCGCCCCGGTCTTCTCCACCTCGTCCTCATGCTCATCCTCCTCCGCGGCATGTGCACGCGTGTGCACACGCCCAGGGTTGAAACCGCCGGGCATGGCACCCGGTGACCAGGCGATGCGATTCCCGGAGATATTGTAATACCGGATATCCGCAAGAAACGCCACTGGAAGTCCGGGAACTCTTGGGAAGTTGCGTGAAGCGGGCTGAAGAGCCGGGGAGGATCCGCGCGACGATGAATGAAAATCGCTCCCGATCGAAGGACTCGATGCAGCCGGTGTGACCAACTCTCGTTTTCTCCTCGCGCAAACTCGCAGGAGCCGACCATAAAGATGTTGAGGAAATATTGAGTTCGCAATTATTTTCCGAAGTGCCCCGGTGGAGAGGGGAAATTTTTTACCGTGAAGTTTCATCGGAAATTTCGGCGAGATCGGTGGACAGGATCTGAGGTAAACTTTTTCTCCCTCTGGAACATGTCGCTCCGGTGGAAGTCGCGGCGCGTCCCTAGGCGCGCGATAGCGAGCGCCGATCGCGCAAGAAATTTAACGACACCGAGCGTGGATAGGACGAAACGAGAGTTGCGTGCTGTTTCCCGCGGTTCTTATGCGCGCGAACGTTCGCGCGCATCGCCACTGCTCTCCGAAGCGATTGGAATAATGCAACGGGCACGCAATCCTTTGCCGGTCTGCGCCTAATGCGAAAGATTCAACGCTGGATTTTCGTGCGCGAAACTTGCGACAGGACAGGAAAAAGTTGCATGTCTCGGCGATTATAAATATCATGGTTGCAGGTACAGTCGGCGTCACGTATGCTGCGCCATTTCTTAGACGGAGTGTCACATCATTTTCAGCCTTACGTATAACGAATAAGGTTGAAAATCTGCAGAAGTAACTTTAGTTATGACAGTAGAGTTATATGATGGGCTCTGATTGTAATAATTTCGATCTTACGTGTACATGTAAAAAATAAAAAGTCCTGTAATTGTAGAAAGTTCCAATGCAGAGTATTATATGAGTATGAACTTCATCTCGGACGTTAATTCCGGATACCTGCGATACTTTTTACGGTTTCTCGCGTTTTGAATTCAGACTGCGGCGTCTGTAAAAATTGAGCCGCGAGATTCGGCCCTGTTGTACGCATCGTTCTCATCTCTCATCTCGTACTGAAGGTACGTACGTGCGCGCGCGTGCGTGTGTCACACACGCAGAGCGCCATGTGTTCCGCTGACGGCGGATATAATGCACGCCTACCCACGGAAATACGCTTCTTGACGGATCGCCCGACTAATTCGGTAGTTGTCACCGGGTATGCGTGTGGATTGATGACGACCACCTAGCCGTACCCGCCGCGAATTCCTCGGAAATTCTTCCGCCTCGAGGAAGAGACCGAAGGACTTGGCCGCTTAATTGGGACTTTCGGGCCGGCAATAATGGCGATAATAATAGAGTCTTAATTCGCTCGACGACTCTGCGCGTGTCTGGAGGAGGAAGTCTCCACGTGTTTTTTCTTCTCGCTTTTTTTTTTCATTTATGATTTAGGCGCAAGCTTTAGTCATTTTCACGTGAAATGATGTAAACATGAAGAAACTACGCTAATGATTCGGTCCGAAAGACACGTCGGATTGCGTTGTCTTTAAATTCTTGTACGAATACTTCAGAATCTGAGCTACAAACAACAATTGATCTACTTGGGTCCTTGGGTCAATACGACCCCTACGCGAGCACTTACGTAACTTTCTGTGATTAATTTTAGTGTATGTGGTTCAATATTTTATTTGTATTTTGTGAGTTATATTTATTAAATAATAGTTAATTAATAGTAACTATTTAATAATAGCTAATTAAATATATAATTAATGTGTAACAGATATTACAATTTTGTTTCAAATTTAAAAGTGTAATATCTTTAACATTTCTTCTTTCCCTGTTCGTCAAAAAAAGTTATTTACCTACTTACTAAGTTATTTACCTATTACCTACTTATTTACCTACAAGGAATACTTCCTTGAATTGATGCAAACATAAATCCGTTCAATTGTCTTTCGTATTAATGCGGCGGATCGTCGACTTTTCATTACGCTCTTCCAGGATGGGCAACAACCTGAAACAGTTTTTATTATTTGCAAAAGAGTATAATTTACTAATTGTTTAACCATTTGATACACGTGTAATAATACATATGTAACGAAACGTGTGATTAATGAAAAATGCAATACATACGCAATGAAAAAGATACAAATTATCTTTCGGTTTAGTTGAAGATAGAATATAGCTAAAATGCCACCAAACTCACTCTACAAGTCCATTGAAAGCTTCGTATTTTTTTTCGCTAAATGTAGACTCAATTCCCGCAAGTTTCTAACGAAAGGTACAAGGAAGGAAACGTATGGAATTGTCAATCGTCTATTTTGACGAACTCTGAAGATTTTATAGAGCGATTAAGAATAAGAGACATTTGTTTTTTTTTTATGTATGGCACGACCGACCCGTTGTTGAATCGTATTGCGATCTCAAATTGGCGGTCGACATGGTGGCGGCTCATAGCGGTTACTTGAGAAATATACTTTAATACAATAACCGACCTATTATCACGTTCAAGTGCGTTTAACAGACTGCTTACCGCCATCTAACAGTGTTATGAGAAACCAGTTACATCTAATGGGTTTGAGTCTCGGCTAAGTAGGATCGAAGATAATTTTGACGAACGATTTGCAAATATATTAATATTATTTTAAAAATATTTGATATAATGAAATAATAAAATTATTAATAAATTTCATTTCTACCATTTATTTGACATAATGTATAAAATATTATAAATTATTGCAAATAAATTACTATATCTCAATATTGTTATTACGTTACGCTTTAAAGGCATTTTGCGTCATTTAATATAATTTAATTGTAATTTAACAACAATTCGTAAATTATTCCGACGATATTTCATTATTATAATGTTATATGCTTACGTATTTGGAAAATGATGAAACAAAAAATAAAGTAAGAATAATAAATAACTGCTTAAATTATTTATTTGCTTCCTGGCCACCTTTATTTTCTTTTTCATCATCCTCCAATAATATCACTGTTAATTTATTTCCTTTTTCATCTTTTTCTTTTATTTTTGTAATTTCTTTCATTTTTATTTTTCTAATTATTGTTACCTCTTCGTTTTCTTCGTTTATTCCATTTTCTTCGATCTCATTGCGTCCGATACTTTCATTTTCGTGAACTTCTTCTTTGTCATTAACTTCTTCTTTGTCATTAACTTCTTCTTTGTCATTAACTAGAGTGAACATCTCTTGTACCCATTCAGGAATATGATTTTTCCATTTTCTCGTATCGAAATACATCTCGTATATTTTTGAACGTAAATTACTCCTCTGAAACTTTTCATTAATATCAGTCCAATCTACATTTAATTTCTTCGCATCGTCCCTAAAAAAACATAAAATGTTTTATTGCGGAATCTTAATGCATTGTATCTAAGAGGCGATTTAGAATCTGTATAACTTGCATTTATACATCTTTCTCAGTTGTTTGCGATAATATTTCTTTTACATGTTCTTAGAAAATGAAGAAAGCTAAAATTTTGATTCACTATATATATTTGTTCTATCATATATTTTTTTCTTATATAGTAGAATTAGCGACATTTCAAGTCCGGGACATTTTTCAACGCGTATCTCTTCTATATTAAACGTTAATATATATATCTCCTCACAAATAATTAAATTTTCATGATCAAACCTTTTTGCAATGGCTTTTATTAGCCTAAACAGATCTTTTTACTAAAGCACTTGTATTTTTTATTACGAGAAAATATTAAGAAAGAAAATATGCACACGAATCGCGCAAATAACATTTATCGTGCTACTTCAATGTATAGAAACGGTCATAGATAACGGTTGAAAATCGAAGCCTTGTATCTGATTATCCTACGTGTGACCTATTAAAGGAGATTTCCCATGTAGAACATCAGACTTTTCGAAATTGCTTTTGCATTTGCTTTAAGTTTCAGATCATAAGCATATATTTCTAAAATATCTTGAAGATTAGAAGTAGCTACAGCGCCCTAGACCCTTAACTTTCACGGTCACGTACGGAAATTGCGGTAGCCTCGATTGCCGAATAGTTCGGAGCGGTGCTGAATAAGATATATTTGGCATGCGACGATACAATTAGATCAATGAGCCAAATGAGCGGCGTATTGAACTGGAGGAAATCACCGAAGATAACAGAAGCGATTGACTTTACGTATATGACTCAATTCACGCGGTGTTATCTTAAAAATAATTTGCGGAATAAATTATTTATATTATTACGAGCGTGGCTGCAACCAGAAGCGTTCTTGGCTACGCAGTGGTGTTGTATCGTCGCGGCGACACGTCCACGTACACTGCCAGACGCGCGGCTCGCAGATCCATACAAACAACGGCTTGCTGTTTGACAGAATTGCACTTAATAATTGCTACATTATTACACATTACGGTAAAATAGCTCAATATTTCTTGACTCAAGTATTTGTAAGAAATATTGCTGTGCAAGTAGTGGACTCGAATTAATTTATATCGTGCATATAGACACAATAGAACGTTTTTTCAATTAATTGATTTCACTTTTACGGATCCAGTGTGGTACTTACTCAGTCAATGTTGGATTCCATAAGGTTCGTTCCCTGTTCCACAATTCATAGTTCATTTTATAACAAACCTTGAATACTTCTTCGGCGGTGTATGTATTAAATTGTGCCACATAGCAGTATGATACTGCGAGCCAATACATCGATTGATACTGTTTATAGAGCCAATACAAGCTATGTATCGGTTTGTTCTCGGCGTTTGCTTGTAGTTCCCACGTTTCAAATTCCGCACGTTTATCCAATGTTTCTTCATTTTTCAAAGAGAACCAGATCTGCTTCAATTCATGCTCACTGAAAGTCCGTTGATTTTCACTTGCTGTTTTAAAGTATTTTCTTTGATGTACTTTTTGCTGCGACATAAATAGTCGATGAACTTCAATTGGATCCATGATCTTCCGTGAGATCTTTGATTCTGGATGTACAATGTTGCCGAAAGGTGGATGCAAGTCCGGTTGCATATGTAAACGAAAATAGTGTGGATAATCTTTCAGATCATGCGATGTGCGAACTACATCGGGAGCTCTTGACTCTGTAATTAATTAAATGTTGTTAATAGATTAGTTGTTAGTAATAATAGTAATGATAGATTGGGTAAAACAACAATATTAGTTTGAGATATTTTACCTGGTGGTGCCAACGCAAAATATAGATACTGGGTGGAATTAGTTCCGGACTGTCCATCGCCGCCCAGCGTTTTCTTTATTAACGAAGGTGTTAATGCATTCGGAAAATTTACTATTTTCGCTTCTAATTTCTCATTGTACCTGAAAAATGTTTATATTATTTAATAACACATACACATATATGCACACTTCATATACATTTTGTCTAATATATTGCATCTCATACACTTTTTTTGGCCTTTCCACCACAGAAGGGAGACCGCTATGCCTTCCGTTTATTGGCAACATGATCCGAAATTCTTTGAGTCCAATTCCTTTTGATAAGAATTCTCCTCTTCGTTAAGAAGTTTCCGCAGTCGGTCCTTCTTTGCTTGAAGCTGCTCGTTTTTTCCGTTTCGCGTCAGACAGTTTTCGCTTTTCAGATCCTTCGTGTTCCAGGAGTCGTAATGTTTAGCTACTTCGCATTCACGTACAAAGTATTGCGCGTCTATCCGGAAACGTTGCAACTTCAAAACATTCTCGCTGTGCTTCTGAGCTGTCAACTGGTATTGCCTTTCGCTGTTACGTCCGTGCATAATAACAGAATTGGCTACAATGATCCGCCTGTTCAACAAAATATATATAATTAATGAATATCAAAATAGTACCGAATCTCCTACATATTTTGACAGATCCACCTCCGGTATGAATGTGATACCCAGGTGTGTTCTAGGGTTTAGACGATTTTCATCTATTTGAAGTACTTCTGATCGGGAAGGTACGACTAGCCGACCCTGAAGGTCGATCGACCTTCGCGATCCGTCGGCGCGATCAGCGCGGGTGGGTCGTAAACAGACGCGGAGTGCGTTTGTAGGACGACGAGAAAAGCGGGTGGCAGCGGAGGAGGCAGAGGAGGAGGAGGAGGAGGAAGAAGAGCGTCGAGCGAGTCGTCGAAGGCATCCTAGAGGAGGACGATGAGGAGGAAGAGGATCGTCTTTCTATTTCGAGCTTGCGTCTCTCGATGACGTCACACGGACGAAAATATCATACGGTTAGGGAGGTGCAGTCCGCGGCTCTGTTGCGCGGTCCAGGTCTCGATCTTTCCCGGACTCGCGCAAAAATTCTCGACCCCGTCGTGGTGCACGACCCCCTCTCGTTGAGAGACGCGTCGGTCGACGTCGCGGGCTGCAATTCGACGATCGTTTTTCCGAGCGTTGGGGATCCCACTGGGGAAATTAGAGCCGGGCAGCTTATTATCATCTCGAGACGACGTTCCGTCGAGGAAGAGAAGTGGGTCGACCGATCTCGCCCACGCGAGAGCCCCACCTTCGCGTATCGCGGTCGGTCCAGGAGTTCGTCAGTGGCGCATCGCGCACGTCTTCGGGAGGATCGCCGTAGTCATCGGAGAATTACGCGCAGAGTATTTCGCGGGGGCGCCAAGAGTCGATTTAAACCGAAGCGAAGACCCTCGGCGTCACCTTCGTCGGCGCATCGGCGAAGGATCGTTTGTTCACCGTTCACCGTAGTGAAAGAGCAAGGAGGAAAGGGAGACGCTGAGCAGGTAAAATGCCCGGCGCTGGTGGTCAACCGCCGCAGAGGACCACCTTTCGACCGCCGTGGGTCAAGGATGGTCCGAATCCATTGCCAATGCCTACCGCACCCTGGACTCTTAACTCTCGCAGAGAATCCAAGCCGAAAACCGAGGAAGTGCCTGCCTTCACTCAAGTCACCTTAAAGGTGAGCGGAGCGTCCCGAAAACATGGGCATATTTGTAATCAGGTCTTATGCTTAAGATCGTTTCAAGTTCATCTTTAAACGCTGTACGGATCATTTCATTGGTTACAAAGCTTCTGAAGATGAACTTAGGACGATCCTATCGGGAAATATTGTGCCGCTGCGCAGCGGCCAAATAATTAATTTTTATCTTCGTCGATCAGATTATTATACGACTGCAGTCGATTTTAAATAATGTTACATATAATAGTATCTAAAAGTCGCCGAATTGCAGCTGATCGAAACGAAATACGAAATCGCGGGCAAACGTTCGGATCGATTTCGACCAACTGCACCGTCTCAAATCAAGGAGGGCCGTAAATTTAATTTCAGCGGAGTCGCGCAAGCTGCACCCATCTTTCGCAATTAAAATCCGCGTAATACAATCCGCGTCTGTTTCCATCGGAAGCACGCACGCGTAGCCCGCGCTTCTGCGACTTCTATCTTTTTCCATTCAGATATTGGGTTTCAAAGTCAGCGGACTTCACTACTGACCGTGATATTATTAGCCGACGTGGGTGTCTTGCAGCGAGTTAGCGCGATAAACATTTCGGGCGGCACGGAGCAAGCTGTTGCATCTAAACGTCACGCTTCGATAACCTCGTTGACCGACGAATTAAAAAAAAAAACAAATTCGGTTCCTCGCGGGTAAAGTTATCGTACAATCACATTGTGATTCAAAGCGAACTCAAACGCATCGTCTGAGTGAAAAGTCATGTCACCGAAGAAGATTGCTGAGGACAAGTTATCAAAATCCGATCGTGCGAACATTTGAGTCAACGTCGGTCGCGAAACTAATTTTTCGAGAACTTCTCGAAAAATTAGCGAATCACGGCTATTTTCAATGGAAAGAACCACGACAGCGACTTAAAGCGTTCACGCATTCTCGCGCATCAAGATTATTACCGTTGGATTTATTTCATCCAATCGCGGGAAGGCTTTTCAAGGGAATACTCTCGGCTTTCTGGCAATGGTTCGCGAGAGCCACCAGAGACGGGAGATTGATCTACGCAATTCGAGATAACGCGAAAAACGTGAATCGCTCGAAATCACAATGGCGCGCGCCGATTTTACGCGCCCCGACGCGATAACTCCTCACCGTTTCGCGCGCGATTAGGTCATCGACAGGACAGATCGAGTTCGGGATATAATTTCGGATCGTAAAATTGTTAACTGCGCGATATATGCATATATGTAAAATGTGCATCCCTTGTACATAGAAATAGGGAATAACACGTAACATGTAATGCCACTATCTTCTCCAGTTACTTTTCTTCGATAACGTAATTACATTTTTTGCACAATAGTTACGGCACGAAGTATAAGGGTAAGAATGGTTACTTTTATAATTACTTCGTAGATATGAAATATATTCGATAAACAATTAAATTATTTTTAAAAAATGTCGAAACTTGATGAGAAATGTGGTGAAAGTTACAGGGACTCGTTACTTTTCGAGTAACAATAACGAGTTACTTTTCCAAGTGAATTTCCAAGTTTCTTTTTTTATTTGAGTACTCGCGTAACTTTCCCCTGCTTTAAATTACCTGCTTTAGAGATGCTTCAAAAGTTATTGTTCTTTTTTATGCGTTTCCTAAAATTGCAAAAAGGGGTCATGTATTTTCAAGAAAAAGAAAACTGCTGCTGCTTTATACATATGTCACTGTTATGTCTGTTAACTCGGACACGCATTGATTTAAGAATTGTCGTCGAACTGTCGGACAACTTTTACGACTATTTAACGATAGGGTCAATCGTAAGGATTATAGGCTTTATATAAATTGCCATTTTTACGAGATTTTCTTCTGGAATAGTTCCGTTGAAACGGTAAAAACTGTTTTGAACAAACAAACCACTATTGTCATAAGTAGGTAGTTTCTTGCCAGCTACCTACTTTTTATCTTTTATGATTTTTCCGTCAATTGGTTATCCTTAAAAAATTATACAACGCAGTTCACGGTCGTCCCATTAAAGCCATCGGAACGTGCTTGCCGCACACGTGCTCATCAATTATAATTTCGTTTTCTCGACGCGAAGGAAAGTGAGATCCGCGTCGTGCGCGCGCTCGCATATAAGCCTCTGGGTCACGATTATTTAAAGAACACGCGTTTCTATTTCAAATGGCTTGCCAGCTGCGTCTTCCGCCAGTTTCTTAACGCGATTATACCTGTGATTTTGCCCGAACGTATTTGAAAATCGCGATCGTGACGTCACGGATATGTCACGGAAGCGACTTTACCGAGACGAAGAATTTGCCACCGGACCATTTCCGCCGGGAGAATGAAAAAAATTGGGAAATTTCTGAAAGCCTTGAAGCGCTGGAAAGTCGAAGGACGATCCCGCGACAGCCGCTTATTTCGGAAGATGGAAACTCCGCGTCGATGACGATCGAATTTGAAGAACGTGACATCTCAAGTGCGAAATTCAATGTGAATTATTTAAAGCTGGCGGAACGAACTCTTCTCTCGAGACTTGCCAAGAAAATTCCTCGTATCTCTCTCTTCCTCTCTCTCCCGCTTTTTCCTTCGTCTCGCGCAATTGGGACAAGGAGAGAAGGGCAGACTACGACCCTTCTTTTTTTTTTCTCGCGACTATCTACTGCTTTAGACACTTGCGACACTTTTTCTCCCGTATACTTCACGGCACAGTGAGCGTAGAGAAAAGGAAACAAAAATAATCCGAAAGAAAAAAACGCACGACGATTTGATTTACGACGCGAGAGTGAGACGAAAATCTAAACGGTGTGTCGAGAAAAGACGCGGCTCGGTCGTCGCGAGAGAGAAGGTAAACTCGTCTGCGCGCGTTGTTCGTAGGTAAAGTTGAAGACAGGCACTAGCGAATTAATAAATTAACGAACGTACAATCGTTCACCGATCAAAACCTTGCGATCTGCTGATGGCTGCTGTCACGTCCATTTCGACATTGCGGTTCTTCTACTGTACAGCTCGGCGTAGTAACGCCAAAATAATCGCAAACATAATTCCAATCCGAGGGTTCGAATCTTAACAGTTCTTTTTATATTCGGCATTTAAACAATGAAGAAACATCGAAATTTGCCTAATTAACTACACATCACATCTTTAACGTGCCGAAACAGAAGACGCAGCTCTGAGCGGATCGTCCAAAATGTTAATACATATTTTCGTATTCTCAACGAAAAAATTCGCGAATTCGCAAGCGAGTGAAAACAAGAGGGAAAGATCGAAACGAACGATTCCCCTTCCGTCGTCCCCGCGTCACAACTGTTTTTTTTTTCAGCCAAAGTATCATTTTTCATTCGGTTCGACAGAGCGTGCCGAAGCCCGCGGAGCCCGCGGCACCTTCCTCGGATGGACAACCGCGTAAACCTTTCTCCGATGGGCAACAGCGTAAACCTTCCTCCGATGTAGAGCCGCGTAAACTTTCCTCGGATGGGCAACCGCGTAAACAGAGCAAGATCACGATAATACCGTCGCAACCGAAGAATGAGAAGATACCGAGCGGCCGGCCGGTGCCGCGCGAGAATGGACGACAGGAGCCAAATTCGAGGCCGCAGCTCGAGCGGCAACTTCGCATCGACAGGTCTCGATCGCGGGGTGACAGTATACCACTCTCCAAGAGTGAGAGCACTACAGGTAGGAGCGACGACGATTTTCCCGTTCCCTCTTAACCCATAATTACCACCGTCCGCAACATAAACGTTCGATCCTTCCGTTATTACGCTAACACGCACCTCTCAATCCCCCCCCCCCCCCCC